GGGGGGGGGGGGGGGGGGGGGGGGGGGGGGGGGGGGGGGGGGGAGGGGGCGTACTGTTACGTGTTGCATGCCTTTGCGGTTAGACCATTGACCACGCGTCCACGAGAGGACGGAGCATTGTTCCCACAGGACCGATCACCTATGGCCAATCGTTCCTTTCTACTTTGCCAAAGGTAGCTCATATNCTCTATTCCATGCCTCAAACATCTCCCTGTACGTCCCATCTATTTCTCCCGGCTCAGTCACGTACACTTCTACCACGGACATTCCGCGACTACATGAACACGGTCTTCGCATTCGAAACCGCGATCACATTTGAACTCGTCCTCTTCGTCGTCTACCGTCTTATGTCTTCGACGTTCCCGAAGGCCTATGTCCCCGGTCGTGAATTTGACCTTGAACGTTGTTCCTGCATCCATTGGTCCATGTAGGTAATCCGAACTCTATTCCTTCCTTCAACATTCCGTACACTTCTAGAACCTCCTTATCCTTAGATTCTTTCCTTAGATTTCGTTCTTCTCTCTCGGCACAAGCAACAGATATCTTCTCCTTGAACCCCTGTAGACCCTCCGTTTCCAGCGTTTCATCTACCTTGATGTCGAGCCCCATTCCATACGTCCTCTACAACCTTGACCCATTCCGTGGGTTGTCTACCCCTCTTTTTGTTTGCCCACTTCGCCTCCCATACAATTCTGCGGGGGGGGGGGGTTACTCGTCTTTTCCTTGCCCTGGGAATTCGATCACGTTGCCACAGGTCGTGGGCCATGCGTCCGTTTCGACGCAGACTGAGGGGTAAGGTGTGCGTGATCACGATACGTAGGTAGTGGACATTGGTCGCAGCCACAGCGTGCAACGGCGGAAAAATCGACGAGCTAAAAAGCAGGGGGCCGGGGGGCTGCTGGGGGAGGGGGGACAAGCACATGCACCCGAACACGCACGCATTCGACATCAAAGAATGCCATCTTGTGTTTCAACTGTCTGGAAGATACAGACGCACACGCACGGGACACTGCCAACCAACTCTCGGTGTCCAGAACGCACGTTCGTATTTGTCTATCCCGATAGGAGACTGGCGTATTTTCATGGGCCACCGGTTAGCGCGGTCGATGCTGACAACAAAGACGCACGACTACACATACGCACCTCTTTGGTGAGCTCGACGGTCTCGTGGTCCAACCCCTCCGCCTCTTCCGCCTCCATCTCCTTACGCTTCTCTACCGCTCGGTTTTGGACCTATAGGATGCATTCGTTACATCGACGACATACGGGTTGAGGCGCATGATTCCTGGCAGAAAACCAGAAACAACAAGCATGACACAGCACACCTCAGCTACACAAGCATAAACTGCCGCGGTTCTAGTTAACTACTAATAGGTTGGAGGCTCCGCATGTATAAATGCACACGTATGATACTGCTAAGCTTGATTTGTTGACGGGAGCACACTCTCTCCTTAGACGGCACCAGAGCAACCAAACGGCCGGGCTATACCCATTCACCATCATCAATATCATCGACATGGTCACCGTCATCGGCATCATCGTTACTCATCATCATCATAAGCATCGCCGCGGTCATCATCGTCAACAACGTCGGCAAAAAGACACGTACTGGTGCGAGACCGACAAGGTCATCATCAACAACAACACGTTCCTCGTGGTCGCCCTCGCCCACGACAAACACGATATTATAGCTACAGCAAGACCACCAACCTTGGCCACAAAGTCGTTGACACCGTCCCTGAATCTCTGGGAGTGCTCCGCTTCCTAGAAAACAAGCAGGAAGCACAAAACGCCAAGGAAGGGAGAAGCCACACAAACGAACAAGCATCGATAAGCGGCGGACGAACCCCCTCCGGTTAGCTTCGAGCGGTGTTCACCGTGTCGAAAATCGAGTGTGACGAATCATCACCTATCCTGCGCATGTCCTTTCAGAAAGAAAAAACTCGTCACCCTCGCAAACAAACAACATCTCCCTGCTCCCTCAGACACACGAAACCTGTGCTTTCCGACGTTTTCGGGTCAACAAGCACTGGACATGCTCACGAGGAGTGCTCTAGCCAGGACGTCTCCCTCCCCTTCTGGGCTACTTCCAGGAGAAGCTATTTACGTAGGGATACACAGGCTAGAATGGATGAGGCATACTGTATAGCAGAGAGAGGAGGATAAGGACATGGGACGATACTGTACCGGTGGCCCACAGGACAACGCCGACGATGTCCCCATCGCATCAATTCTTGCAACATTCTTGCCTTTCAAAACGTGTTGGCAAGCACCGAAAGACAAAAGCTGAAAAAAAAAAGAGAAAAAAAAGGCCACCCCTATCTAGAAGACAAAACGGCAAGCACGCCACAGCAGACGACGATGACTCACATCGAGACGCAAAAACAAGGCGGGAACGACGTCTTGCGGAGGGCGGCGGAGGGAAACGGCGAGCTCCGTGATGCTGGACAAGAGCTGGCTCTGGCGCGCTACCAGCTTCATCCGCTCGTGCTTGCCGTTCATCTCGTCTTCCAGACAGCTGCGTCGTTTCGGCACGTCGGTAAGGAGCAGAGGGTGCGTGTTGTAAAGAGGGGAACCAATATTTCCATGCATGTCGTCGTCCAGGCAGCTTTCCAGGCAATTCAGAAAAAAATAAGCATTGTCGCCACCACGCGAAAAGGAAGAAACGCACGTGAAAATCGTTGGGTACATCGAATCCGGCTCCACTGCACCTCTATCGATAGGAGGGGGCAGCTCTGACTGCAATCAGCAAAGACAAAACAGCTTGGCGACTCACGACAAGAGGAGATAGCTCTGGCAGTGGTCGGCGAACAGGATGTCCCCGTGCTGCCGCAGGAAATCCCTGGTCTTCTCCATCGAGTGCTGCAATAGGCAAAAACCATTTCAACACGAGGCCGTAAGAAACCTACACGGGCGTAGATAAACTATGTAACGTACACCGACCGAACGAACACACATCGACAAGAAATTGAGCCTAAGGATGACGATACAGGGGGTCGACGTCCCCCCGTACAGTTTGTTTGGTGCGATGCTGCGGCCACCTCTAGGTTACTGGCGCATTTTGCCCTATGCGATAAGACCTTTCCATTGAGTAGTGTTGTCGGTCGCACTGACTATGTTGATGCACTGGTCGCCCGGAGTGTGTTGGCGCGTGGATAATGGTGCTGTTGGTTGTCCCTGGGTTCTCGAGGCTTGTTGTCGACATTCTCGATCTTTCTCCGCGAATTACCATGCAGCATGCACACACGACGCTTTGCTACGGTAAGAGTGCGCCAAGGAGCAGCAACACGGTGAGGGGGTGGGAGACGGGACGATGCCGTAATGTTCGTACGTCATGAGAGGGGAACAACAAACTCGTCCCTGTTGTTGCACTTAACAGTACTCTAGACAGGCCGACCAACATGTCCCAACAATAGAAATAATAACAAGATAAAGACAGACACAGCTCCGAGCGCTGGTATAAAAAGACGGACAAAAACACACACATACACATACACATACACCTTTTATGTCCTAGATCATTGCCTTTGGAAGCATTTCGTGGTTTCAACCGCACTGAGACTGGCGTCTTTTCATTGGTCAACCGGTCAGCGCAGTCGATGCTAACAACAAAAACCCATACACCCAAGCACTGCTGGTAAGGGTCGGCACCCACCAGCTCGCTGTACTTCTCCATGACGCCCTCATGCTCCTTCACGAAGTCCGAGTAAGATTGCACCTCCTGTTTTTCGGCACGAACAAAACAGAAACGACGTTGAGTCGTATGCGTAGTATTAGGGTAGCCCGATCAAGGGTAATGCCGAATGATGGCAGGAGCGGCGTAGCCTGGGATCTGTACAAGCCCGGCCCAGACAAAACTTCAGTCTGAAGGCTCAAATAGACCAAAACTGAGCCCATTATCAAGCCGGTTTTATTCCCATTCACTGCAAAAACTTCGGTGCTGAAGTGATGTCCATCCCACATCACCTACAAGTATTCATTAGCACCGTGTGAAAGCCGGCGATAGAGGTCAAGTATGGCCCGTGCGGTAGGCAACAGACAGAGTGGGGGGGGGGTACAGTTACCACTTCACGTCTCCCCCGCTCTCTCACCTGAGTGGTGGTTTCCGGGCCTGGGGCGGTGACTGCCCTCGGCTTTTCTCCGAGAGCCGCCGCGAGCTTCGGGGGAAGCGCAGATCGCATCATCGTGTCCTTTCCCTGCCGTTTCGTGTTGAACGGGTACATGTTGTACCGAGTCGTTTTTAAGGTTTCGGTTCAGGTCAACGGATACCACGCCGTTAACAGAGACGTGCTCGAGTTGTTCCAGCACGCGGTCGGCACGGATTTGTCCGTGTCACAAGACCGGCGACATCAAAGACAAAGGCAACAACAAAACAGCCTCAACAGCATCAGCATCAGCATCAGCAGCAATGACGAGGACTACGACGGCAACAACAACGAAATCCCACGCCACCTACGGTATCTCAATTGCCATGGTATCTGGGGGGCTTATTGTTTTGTCGCGGTTCGCTCCCAGAGGGCGGTCGGGCACATTACAAGCATTCTTCCGGCTTTGACAAGATGCTACCATCATACTACTATACCGCTCTGCCTCAATAGCACCGTGAAACCGCAATCCCTCGCGAGAATCTAGCGGCCTGTAGATACCGCCATCGCCGCTAATACGGAAACCCGCAACACCGACCGTAACACAAATATACAGCTAATGGACTCCACAGGGGGCGCATCCACACAAACGCACGCCGCCGTCATCATACCATTGAACTCGCATCCCTACAATGCCGGGACGGAGCGGTTTTCGCCGGCCTTGGCTACAAGGGGTGAGGGGGGTCGTAAGAAAAAAAAGCCCGAAAAAAAAAAGGCGTCCCTATGCACATGTGCCGTACCCACCTCGCTGTCGGCGCTCTTGTTGATGATGGTACGCTCCTCTGTGACGTGGCACATGTTCTCCCAATTCCAGATCTTGTTACGCTCGATCGACTCCACCTCCTTCCTCTTAGCTTCCACTGCCTTTTGCAGCTCCTCGGCCTCCACCGTTAGAGCCACCTGTGCATGCGTGTGTGTGTCTTTGTTAGTTGCAACGACCGCGCTGACAGGCTGATCAATGAAAAGGCCTCAGTCGTACCGCACCAGTTCCTCAGAATGCCCTCGAGAAGCGTGCTTTTTGCAAATCATGCCCGATACGACTCATAATTTACGGATCATATTTCGGTATCGTAGATACTTAGTCGAATTCCACGTCTAGCGGGATACAAATCAGTATCCAGCCGGTTTTATCTCACCCATTGCATTGAATTGAAATACATCCCCTTCGCATGTTTTAGTATCTCGAACGTGTAGATCTCGTCTTTCTCTAAGTCTGTAAGGAATATTCTCGAAAAAGAAAAAAATGCGAACGCCTTTTCCTTTGGCGGACTCCCCCCGTGCGTGTGTTTCTTAACGAATACTGCATTCAGCGTTCGCGCAACAAACAAACAAAAAACAGCACCTTACAGCAGTAGTCCTTGAGCACGATTTCAGGTTGGGCGATCTATGCTACATATCTGGTATGTTCGGTGCCGGTTTGAAGCGCATGATTCGATTACAGTAGAGGTCCTTGGTCAGTGCCGGCACAGTAGGTACCCAGATAATTGACCGGCATTATACTATCGTACCGGTCGCCGGCATATGCGTATTAATTGTTCATTCATCGAAGTACCGAATGACTTGAAAATTGAGTGTGTCCGCCGCGAAAACGCCGGCACTACTATACCGGGGACCGGCACTAAACAGGGACCTCTGCTGTACAAAACACGAAGTAGGCAACAACGCGGAGGGTGGAGTGGACGCAGACGTATCGGAGGACAGGCTTGTCACGGGAATGGTCATGGTCACGCCGACGATCGACGACATCTCCCACCTCCGGTCTCGTCGACCACCTGCAACGTACCGCATACTGTAAGTCACTTGTGAAACGATAAGAATGGCACGCCTCGTATGGTTGCTGATTTGATGTACCGTATATGACACAAGATAACACACCCCCTGGACCGATGTTCAAAGCTCGATTACTCCACGACGAAGGGGATGCATGAACGAAACGATACATTTTTGGAAAGCTCTCGACGTGACGGTTCCAACACCGCCGTTTTCGGCGCCGTGACTCTTTCTGTTGTTAAGAAATCGAGNGGAGCACGCCGGGTTCTCACCGGACCAGGCTCTCACATCACCAAGCGCGGTAACATCGGTCCAGGGGGTGTGTTATCTTGTGTCATTTACGGTATCCACGCACACGAAGTCGGGTGCTCGCTAGAGTTCGACCCCGCGCGACGACTGACCCATTCGGACATGAGTTGACCTTGACGTGGTGCCAGGTGCTCGTTCGATCGCAATGAGGTGCTCGCTAGACTTTCGCGCGGTCACTGACCCATTCGAGTATGATTTTCCTTGGCGTGACACGCAGTCAGGTGTGTTGTCGATAGACCTTGACTCATCATGATCACCAAGCCAGTCGAACATGATTCGTCGTTGACTTGAGTAGACTTTGGGCCCTGGTGCACACCGGTCCATTCGAACGTGATTTTTCCTTGTAGTGACACGCAATCACGTGCTAGTTCGAGTTTGACCTATGGCAACCCCTATAACCCATTCGAACATGATGTGTTGTTGACTTAATTGGATTTTGGCCCCTGGCGATCACTGGTTCGTTCGAACATGATTTTCCTTTTTGTGACACATAATCACGTGCTCGTTAGATCGCCATCAGGTATTCGCTAGACTTTGACCCTGGGGCCATCACTGGCCCATTCGAACATGATTTTTCCTTATAAGGACACGCAATCACGTGCTCGTTCGAGCTTGACCTCTGGTGACCACTGACCCATTCCAACATGATTTGTCGTCGAGGTGATTACACTTTGGCCCCTGGTGATCACTAGTCCGTTCGAACGTGATTCTTTCCTGTAGAAACCGCAGTCAAGGGCTCGTTAGAGTTTTGACCTCTGGCAACCACTGACCCATGTGACCTTTCACTGGCATGAAAGCGATCAAGCCGTACTCATTAGACCTTGACTGACCCCTGGTGGCACCTGACCCACCCGAATGGCCACGGCGTGAACTCCGCTTCAGTCAGGCTTTCGCAAGCTCACCGGATCCTCTCCGTCCACGTCCCCTCCCTCCGCTTTCACGGCGGCAGCCCTCTGCTCCAGCTCCGCCACTCTCGCCAACCCTGCCTTGATCCCTTTCTCAAGCTCGGCCTGCACAGCACAAACAACAAACAACAAAACGACATGAAAACCACCTGGACCACGTATGAAGTGTGTGCCTTGGGGGGGGGGGGAGCTGC